TAAATGGGATCGACTCCTTCATGTCTCTTTCTTCTGTCTTGTTGGTGTATAGGAATGCCACTGATTTCTGTGCATTGATTTTATATCCTGCCACTTTACTGAATTCCTGTATGAGTTCTACAAGTTTTGGGGTGGAGTGTTTTGGGTTTTCCACATAAAGTATCATATCATCTACAAAGAGTGAGAGTTTGACTTCTTCTTTGCTGATTCGGATGCCTTTGATTTCTTTTTGTTGTGTGATTGCTGTGGCTAGGACTTCTAATACTGTGTTGAATAGCAGTGGTGATAGTGGACATCCCTGTCGCATTCCTGACCTTAGGGGGAAGGCTCTCAGTTTTTCCCCATTGAGAATGATAGCCGCTGTAGGTTTTTCATAGATGGCTTTTATGATATTGAGGTATGTACCCTCTATGCCTATACTCTGAAGAGTTTTGATCAAGAAAGGATGCTGTACTTTGTCAAATGCTTTTTCTGCATCTATTGAGAGGATCATATGATTCTTGTTCTTTCTTTTGTTAATGTATTGTATCACGTTGATTGATTTGTGGATGTTGAACCAACCTTGCAGCCCAGGGATAAATCCCACTTGGTCGTGGTGAATAATCCTTTTAATGTACTGTTGGATCCTATTGGCTAGTATTTTGGTGAGAATTTTTGCATCCATGTTCATCAGGGATATTGGTCTGTAATTCTCCTTTTTGATGGGGTCTTTGTCTGGTTTTGGGATCAGGATAATGCTGGCCTCATAAAGCGAGTTTGGAAGTTTTCCTTCCATTTCTATTTTTTGGAAGAGGTTCAGAAGAATAGGTATTAATTCTTCTTGAAATGTTTGGTAGAATTCCCCTGGGAAGCCATCTGGCCCTGGGCTTTTGTTTGTTGGGAGATTTTTGATGACTGCTTCAATTTCCTTAGTGGTTATAGGTCTGTTCAGGTTTTCTATTTCTTCCTGGTTCAGTTTTGGTAGTTGACACATCTCTAGGAATGCATCCATTTCTTCCAGGTTATCTAATTTGCTGGCATAGAGTTGCTCACAATATATTCTTATAATTGTTTGCATTTCTAGGTGTTGGTTGTGATCTCTCCTCTTTCATTCATGATTTTGTTGATTTGGGTCATTTCTCTTCTCTTTTTGATAAGTCTGGCCAGGGGTTTATCAATCTTGTTAATTCTTTCAAAGAACCAGCTCCTAGTTTCGTTGATCTGTTCTACTGTTCTTTTGGTTTCTATTTCATGGATTTCTGCTCTGATCTTTATTATTTCTCTTCTCTTGCTGGGTTTAGGCTTTATTTGCTGTTCTTTCTCCAGCTCCTTTAGGTGTAGGGTTAGTTTGTGTACTTGAGACCTTTCTTGTTTCTTGAGAAAGGCTTGTATTGCTATATTCTTTCCTCTGAGGACTGCCTTTGTTGCATCCCAAAGATTTTGAACAGTTGTGTTTTCATTTTCATTGGTTTCCATGATTTTTTTTAATTCTTCTTTAATTTCCTGGTTGACCCATTCATTCTTTAGTAGGATGTTCTTTAGCCTCCATGTATTTGAGCTCTTTCCAACTTTCCTCTTGTGATTGAGTTCTACTTTCAAAGCATTGTGGTCTGAAAATTTTCAGGGAATGAGCCCAATCTTTTGGTACCGGTTGAGACCTGATTTGTGGCCTAGGATATGAGCCTTTCTGGAGAATGTTCCATAGGCACTAGAGAAGAACGTGTAATCCGTTGCTTTGGGATGGAATGTTCTGAATATGTCTGTGAAGTCCATTTGGTCCAGTGTGTCATTTAAAGTCTTTATTTCCTTGTTGATCTTTTGCTTAGATGATCTGTCCATTTCAGTGAGGGGGGTGTTAAAGTCCCCCACAATTATTCTATTGTTGTTGATGTGTTTCTTTGCTTTTGTTATTAATTGCCTTATATAATTGGTTGCTTCCATGTTAGGGTCGTAGATATTTATAATTGTTAAATCTTCTTGTTGGATAGACCCTTTAAGTAGGATATAGTGTCCTTCCTCATCTCTTATTACAGTCTTTGGTTTAAAATCTAATTTGTCTCATAGAAGGATTGCCACCCCAGCTTTCTTTTGGTGTCCATTAGCATGGTAAATGGTTTTCCACCCCCTCACTTTCAATCTGGGGGTGTCTTTGGGTCTAAAATGAGTCTCTTGCAATCAGCATATCAATGGGTCTTTTTTTTTTTTTTAAATGTTCTTTCATATTCTTGAAATTTTTTTTTATTCTTATGTTAATCCCCATACATTACATCATTAGTTTTAGATGAATGGGTCTTGTTTTTTAATCCAATCTGATAGCCTGTGTCTTTTGATTGGGGCATTTAGCCCATTTACATTCAGGGTAACTATTGAAAGATAGGCGTTTATTGCCATTGTATTGCCTGTAAGGTGACTGTTACTGTATATTGTCTGTGTTCGTTTCTGGTCTATGTTGCTTTCAGGCTCTCTCTTTTCTTAGAGGACCCCTTTCAAGATTTCTTGTAGGGCTGGTTTCGTGTTTGCAAATTCCTTTAGTTTTTGTTTGTCCTGGAAGCTTTTTATCTCTCCTTCTATTTTCAATGACAGCCTAGCTGGATATACTATTCTTGGCTGCATATTTTTCTCATTTAGTGCTCTGTATATATCATGCCAGGCCTTTCTGGCCTGCCAGGTCTCTGTGGATAGGTCTGTTGCCAATCTAATGTTTCTACCATTGTAGGTTACATATCTCTTCTCCCGAGCTGCTTTCAGGATTTTCTCTTTGTCTATGAGAGTCGTAAGTTTTACTATTAGATGTTGGGGTGTTGACTTATTTTTATTGATTTTGAGAGGGGTTCTCTGTGCTTCCTCGATTTTCATGCCTGTTTCCTTCCCCAAATTAGGGAAGTCCTCTGCTATAATTTGCTCCAATATAGCTTCTGCCCCTCTCTCTCTTTCTCTTTCTTCTGGGAATCCCTGTTTTTATTCTAATGTTGTTTCGTCTTATGGTATTGCTTATCTCTTGAATTCTGCCCTCGTGATCCAGTAGTTGTTTATCTCTCTTTTTCTCAGCTTCTTTATTTTCCATCATTTGGTCTTCTATATCACTGATTCACTCTTCTGCCTCATTTATCCTAGCAGTTAGCACCCCCATTTTTTATTGCACCTCCTCAGTAGCCTTTTTGATTTCGACTTGGTTAGATTTTAGTTCTTTTATTTCTCTAGAAAGGGTTTCTCTAATAACTTCCATGCTTTTTCCTAGCCCAGCTAGTATCTTTAAAGTCATGATTCTGAGGTCTAGATCCGACATTGTACTAATGTCCATATTGAGTAGGTCCCTGGCAGTCAGTAGTACCTCTTGTTCTTTTTGTTGAGGTGATTTTTTCTGTCTTGTCATTTTGTCCAGAGCAGAATAGATGAATGAGAGAACAAAATGCTAACAGGGTAACAACATCCCCAGAAAATATACTCTAAACAAATCAGAAAAGACCTGAAGCTGGGGGAAAAGAAAGGAAAGAAAGAAAAAAGAAAATGAAAAAAAAAAAAAAGAAAAAGGAAAAGATAAAAACAAACAAAAATAGAACAAAACAAAACAAAAAAAGAATATGATCAGATATGATCAGGCTGGTGCATAGATCGTGCCACACACTAGATTTTGGGTGTATTTTGGTCTGTTAGAAGACAGTGCCTCCGAAAATTTTAAAGAAAGAAAAACTTATATATGTACAAAAATAAGGGTTGATATGATGAAGGGATGGAATATGAATGTAAAGATGAAAATTATAAAAATTTTATAAAAGGAAGTGATAAGAAGTTGTTTGAAAAAAGAAAGAAGAGGATTTAAAAAAAAAAGAAGAAAAAAAATGGAGAGAATGTGATCAGGCAGGAGAGTAGAACAAAGCCATACACTAGAGATTTAGGGTATATTTTGATCTGTTAGAAGAAACTATCTCAAAATTTTAAAGAGAGAACAACTTATATTATATATATGCCAAATATAAGGGTAACTACTATGAAGGGATAGAATATGACTGTAAAAATGAAAAATAAAGATGTTTTAAATAAAAGGGATTGATACGATGTTGGTCGAAAAAGGGAAAAAGAAAAATTCAAAAAATAAAAAGTTAAAAAAAATTAACTTTGAAAGCCTAAAGAATCATGGTAAAAAAGCCATGGATTCTATGTGCATTATTCCCCTAGCGCTGGAGTTCTGCCTTCTCATCGATCAGTAAACTTGGTCTTGGCTGGCTGTTCTTGCTGATCTTTTGGGGGAAGAGGCCTCTTGCCATGGTTCCCAAATGTCTTTGCTGGAGGCGGAATTGCCCCGCCCTTGCCGGTCCAGGCTAAGTCATCTGATGGGGTTTGCTCTCGGGAGCTTTTATTCCCTGCAAGCTTTTGGTACAGCTTTGGAGGGTGAGAGTGAAGATGGCAGCCTCCCAATCTCCGCCCAGAGGAGCCGAGAACTCAGGGTCCTACTCCTCGTGCGCCCCCAGAGAAAAGCAGTCAGTCACTTCTGTCTCCCGGGTCTCCGGCCGCACTCTGTGCTCACCCAGCCTGTGACCGAGCGTTTCTATCTCTGGCACCCGACCCCTTGTGGAGTCTCCAAACCCAACAGATCCCCGCGCCGCTCCTCCCAGGGGAGGAAGGGGAGTCTCCCCAGATCTGCCTCTTGTTGGGTCCCTGCTGGAGGAGCAGAGGCCCAACTGTGCCTTGGATCCCAGTTTATGACAACCCCGAGCTGAGAGCCCGCACCTTGGCTCTGTCTCTGCAGCCTGCTTCCCCACTCTGATACCTGGGAGCTCTGCCACACTCAGGCGCCCCCAGTCTTTCTGTGACCCCAAGGGTCCTGAGACCACACTGTCCCACGAGGGTTCCACCCCCTGCTTAGCCACCGGAGTGATGTCCCTCAGAGGAGCAGACTTCTAAAAGTTCTGATTTTGTGCTCTGTGGCTCTATCACCTTTCAGAAGCGGCCGTCAGAGGCCCCCTCCCCCGCAGCCTACCCTCCCGAATATCACCTCAGATTTACTTCTCCGCACGACCTACCTTCCAGAAAGTGGTCGCTTTTCTGTTCAGAGAGTTGTTGCTATTCTTTTCTTTGATCTCCTGTTGAGTTCGTAGGTGTTCAGAATGGTTTGATCCCTATCCAGCTGAATTCCTGGGACCAGACGAAATCCAGGTCTCCTACTCCTCTGCCATCTTGCTCTGCCCTCTCTTAGCCAAATTATTATTAAGTGTACTGGTCTTAAGCTGAAATAAGATGGCTTTTTTTTTTTTAAGGGATTTTATTTTAGAAAGAGAGAGAGAGCATGAGTAGGGGGAGGGGCGGAGGGAGAGGGAGAAGCAGACACCCTGCTGAGCTTGGAGCTCCATGGGGCTCAATCCCAGAACCCAGATCATAACCTGAACTGAAGTTAGATGCTTAACTGACTGACCCACCCAGGTGCCCCAGATAGCTTTTATTTCTAATGCCAAGAAATGAGAAATGTGATAATCAGCAACATGAGGGATTTTCTTGTGGTACTTTATGCCTGGATGGGGAAGGTAGCCCTTTCAATGGGTTTCCCAGGTAACTTAATAACACAAAGTATATGTCAGGGTTTTTTTTTTTTTTTTTTTTTTTTTAAAGACTTTTATGATCATTTGGAGAGGCAGGGAAGAGTCACATTCCATAGGATATAGTTTTCCACCAAGAAATCCCCTTTTGACATTTGTTCTTGGTCCTTCTCTTCCTGAGCCTCTAATATATTTCTATCTCTGTCTCTTTGCCCCCCACCATTTTCTTTCTCCCTCCGGGTTTTCTCCTTGTTACATCCTCTATCTCTCTATCTCATTTTTTTATTATGCAGGATTATTTGCTGAATATTCTTGGCTATTTGAGCATTCTGAGTGTTTTGGCTTTTACCCCCAGTTATTTTCACTGGGCTTTTCTTAGGAATAAATGTGGGTTTCTCCATAGGGCAGAGTTCTAATGAATAGAATTTTCTCTTTCTCACATAAACAAATGTGCATATACACAGATACTGTGTTTGAAGTGTGTATCTTTAGGAGTTTGGCTTGAATCATGGTTCGAATACCCAACTGCCTAGGTATCTTGAATTAATGAAACTGGATGGGCTAAAACAATAGTGCTGGAATAATGCCTTTTGAAATATTGTGCCTGCATGACAAAATGGCTGAGCAGGACATAGCCATAGGCCACATGGGTGATCAGTCTATAACTCCTGGTTTATAAGAGTCCAAAGGCATTCCAGCAGCAATAATCAATGCTTTGGGTTTATCATTGCTCTGATTAAAAAAATCTCCAATAGATTTCCATTACAAGGGGCTCTGAAAAAGCAGGAACTTGGTTTGATGTGCATACTGCTGTCTCCTCAGAGCTTAGGGCAGTGTATAGAACATAAACATTTAATTAATACTTGGATAATGTAAGTTAAAATCTTCATCAGTCAGAGTAGACTAGGTTATGCTGCAATAACAAATAGCTCCCAAATCTCAATTGCTTGAAGAACAAATTATTTCTTATTTACTGTGTATATCCATTATGGGCTGGTAGGGAAAAGGGAGGGCCTGTTTTCTTTGTGATCATTCAAGGATCCAGGCTGATAGTGTGACTAGTCCCTGTTCTGGAGACAAAGGAGGGTGTTGCTTCAACAATTAAATGTTCCAGCCTCAAAAAGACACCATCAATTCTGCTGATATTTCACTGGCCAGAACTTTGTGGCCCACTCAATGATAAAGGAATCAGGAGACACAATCCTACTACGGCCAGATGGTGGAAAGGCCAACTTCTTTGAAAGGTGTGATAGTAGTTTGTTATCACAAAATAGTTGGGATAGACTAAATAAACTAAGTTGCCTTACATGCCAATATTTGTTGATGCTTATATTATTTAGGACAAATGGTCATTGGCTGCAGTACAATGGACTACAAGGGATTTGGAAGAAAAACGAGGAACTATGTTGATATTCTTGTTCCATCACATACATATATAGACAGTCACTTAAGCCTAAAAGAGCAAGTCTTTCTTCCAGTTTTTTAAAAAAAATTAATAATGCTTATCTGAGTGCCTTGAACATAATCCTTTAATACATCTTTCAAGTTCATTAAATTGAATTAATTTGTAGATAAATAACTATGTTTAGCTTTAATTTAATCCCTAGAAAGGAAGAACATAATGGTGAGTTTTTCAAAATGGTAGCCCTTATTAGTAACTTCCTTTTAATTTGAATATATTAGCATAGCAAAAACAACCCCCCCAAAAAAATTCATGGGGCAAAGACTATCTTCCACACTTCTATATTTCAAAAGCCTGGAATGTACTCAATATATACTTCTTGAATGAACGAATAATACTTTTTTGAGACTCTCTTAATGGTAAAGAAATGAGAAAATGTAATGGTTTTTTTGGGGGGGTTATTTTAACCATGAAGTATTTTTTTAAGATTGTATTTATTTCTTTGAGAGAGAGGGAGTGTGTGTGAGAGAGAGAGAGAGAGAGCATGAGCAGGGGGGAGGTGCAGAGGGAGAGGGAGAAGCAGACTCCCTGCTGAGCAGGGAGCCTGATGCAGGGCTCGATCCCAGGACACTGGGATTATGACCTGAGCCAAAGGCAGATGCTTAACCGACTGAGCCACCCAGTCAGCCCAACCATGTAGTATTTTATATGAGTGTCTAAGACATGGGCTCTTGCACCAGATCATTGGAGTTTGAAACCTACTCTATCACTTACAAGCTATATTACCTTGAGCAAGTTTCTTAATCTCCCTGTTCCCCCTGGGGTTCCTCATCCATGAAATGGAGATAAGAATAATAATACTTATCTTATGGGGTTAGTAAAAAGGATTAAATCATACCTTATAAGCAACATACTATAGAGTAGCGCTACTCATAGGAAAGATTTAATGAACATTAGCTGCCGCACTGCTGTTATTTGTGTCTTGATACCGCACAGTCTGTACGTATCACCAACACAACAATAACGAACCACAGAAATGAAACATGCACTACCTACTATAACTTTGGTGTTGTTACCTGTGCACTGTGCACTGTGAAAGACCAGTGGGGAAGACCGACCCATCTGTAGGGGCTCTCACTCTTTCACTCTGTTTAACATGAGAAAAGGTGATGGTTTCCAAAGTCGCACAGTGGCATCACCGTTCTTTCTTTTTTTTTTTTTAAGATTTATTTATTTTTCAAATCTTTGAAAAAAAGATTTATTTATTTTGAATCTTAAAGCAGACTCTCCTCTGAGTGTGGAGTCTGACATGGGGCTGGATCCCACCACCCATGAGATCATTACCTGAGCCTACCCCAAGAGCCAGAGGCTCAACCCACTGAGACACCCAGGGGCCCCTTCGACCCTTCTTTATAACACCTGTGCAAGGCAGGGGTATTCTGAGGCATTTCAAAAGGTTTGTGAGGGGGGAAAATCATGAGAACCACCTTGATTTTGAAAAAATTATGAAAGACTAGACCTATGACAGTGGGGATCACATCGACCTTGTTCTCTGCCTTGTCCCCAAGCATCTAGCACATAGTAGGTGCTTTATAAGCAATTCATGAAATAACTGAATGAGAATTTCTGCTCATGCAGTCTATAAGTGAAAACTAGGTCACCTTACGTGCATCGTTAACGTTTGGATACAATCACTTTATTTCCGAAGAAGAGACTGTCCGAACCATAGTACTAGAAACAAAATGTTCAGTTTCTGAGGGTTTCCTCTCCCCCCCAGCATGTTATTGGAGGGAGAGGGAGATTTTTTAAAAAATGCTTTGAGCATATTTCTTTGTCAAAACCCAATCTTCGATGCTGAAAATGACATGTTTCTATTTATTAAACATGTTCAAAAACCTCAGAAGGTTTTTATTGGGCTTATGCATATAAGCATCTATATTGTATTCCAAGCATGCCATATTCCCAGATTTAGCTGCCAAAACAATCGACAGACTTAAATTTGTATAAACCTGACAATATTTTTGGTTAACGTACTGGGTCAAAGAACATGAAGAGGTAAGAAATGGCCTGTAGTTCACTTTTGCATTTACTGTTAAGAAGCCTAACACCCATTAACACTATTAATATTTTGCAGAATGTTTTTTTCTTTTGTTTCTCCTTCCCTCTTTACTCTTTTGGCAAATGAACGGTATCAGTGAAAGCTCTAACATAACATGCCAGACAGTATAGTGTTAAAGTGCTGCTTGAGTAGCTGAAGAGTTAGTGGGCAGGCATTACAATTCACTGTAGCTGTAATAGAGGGTAATGTCACTTTAAGACATGTGATACTTCACAGAGGAGGGATGTATTGAAACAGACTACTGCTACTTACAGCACCGTATAGCAGCCCTGCTCCTACATTTTGCTGCCTTACTCTGCCCCGAATGCACGGGACTGGGGATGGTCCATCATTAACTGTAAACTGATTCTCATCAGGATCACTTCAAAGGTCTCATCAGGCAGAGGTGACGCGAGGAGATGATTTAAAGGTGAAAATGACAAGGTTTCCACCCCTCAAACCTTGGCTCCTTTTCTGACAATACAGTCTGAATGAACCCGATGTCTTCTTTACTGTGGAAATAGCATTGGAAGAGAAAAACACATTTTTTTAATCCTGATAAAGAAGATTATTGGGAAGCTCTTTTAAAAAAAATCTCCAATTGTGCACAGATGGATTTTAGAAAGTGTTAGAGCTTTCCAATGAACACTAATAGAGTACTCTGCTCTTGGCTGGATTTTTCAGGTAAGAAGCCTCTTTAAGGATTTAAGATTCAGAAAGCAGATTTGTAACCTATTCAGTCATATCTAGAGAACTATGTAAGGCTGGATGCATTATTTGGTGGAAAACACCTATTAACATAGAGACAACCTCTTGGTAGGAGAGTGAGCAATGAGAGTGATATGCAGGAACCTCGGAAGTGATGCTGAGAATTAAAGAAAGTTAAATAAAAAAAGGAAGAAGAAGGAAAATACTGCAAATGTGAAGTCACAGTAATCTTTTTAAGTGCTAAAAGCTACAGGGGTGAAGAAATGAGCAAGAGAAAGCAGAGTCATTGAAAAACTGTTAAGTTTTGATTGTGGTAGGCTTTTTGAAAGTTTAGATGAATTTCTAGTGCATTTTTAACTGAAATTCACAACTAGTCAATGCATGCCACAGTCACCTCTATTTTGTCTTTCTATAATTTGCAGCGTATTTTGAAAAGGCCCCTAAATGCATTCATTTCAAGATTCATAGAAGGGGTGTTGCTATTTATCTCTACTGAAGAGAATGCATCTATGTTATACTGATAGTTCTGAAGACAATGAGGATAAATCTGTTGTGTACAAAAGTAAACAGTGGGCAGTGAAACTAATTATAAAGTGAATGGTCCATCTGAATCACAGAGTGAGGCATGAAAGGCACCATGCTGTTGAAAATAATGTTTTCCTACTTTGCACTTAATTATAGTTGTCACCATTTGTCTATTATAGTTCTAAACCCCTTTTAAAGACTGCATCTCTCTCCTAAAGCCCATAAATTATCTTGTATTATATCTTTATACACACACACACACACACACGATGTATATTTCTGCTTTCTGAACATCACAGTTTTTGAAAGAGTGCCAATTTCCACGAATAAAGAAACCACACTGGGAGGTCACTAGCAGATTTAAATGTATAGTTGAAATACTTGTAGTGTATAATTTGACAGTGGAAAAAATTTTAAAAGGAACAATCTGGGTTCCAAAGCTCTCTCTAAAAGAAAAGAATACACTTAACTGGATTCTTGTATAGAAACTGCTTCCGTATCACTGGCTGAGTAAGGACGATGCTTCAAGTTTGATTAATTTGGCAATATGAAATGCAGCATAAGGTGTTGTTTGAGAAATTGGACAATATGTAGCGCAGTTGAGCCTCTGTAGCTCCTAAGATCCTTATAGGTGCAGATAAGACTGTCAAAGTTTCAGCGCCTGAGAAAAGGTATATGTTCATCCATAAATACATACACCACCTGTGTATGCATATTCATCAACACTATACAACAAATGCCACAATTGCCTCTTAGGAGGCAAAGCAGTATTGTAAATTATGGCTTACGCTAGGATAGAAGCATAGATCTTGCCTCTGAAACTCATTCTGGCTGAAGACAATTCCGTCTGATTTTAAGTCCAGCCAAAAAAGACCAGTTCTATCAGGAGATTACAACATGCCTCTGAGAAATGATTACTTAGTTTAGAAGACAGCAGAATGATTAAAAATTCATGACGGTAGAATTAAAAAAAAAAAAAAAGAATCCACTCTTTCCTTTCAGGCTTATGTCAGACTTACAATGAAGTTAGAATGAACAGGAGTATGCAGCTTTTCAATGCCTGGAATAACTATAGTTTAAAGATCACTGTAAAAAACAGGATGTAAAGTCAGGATATTGTGCTTCAAACTGCCTGATAGTCACAAACTTTAATTTATTTATGTGTCTGGCAGTCCTTGGCGTTTGGCTTTGCAGAATTTCAAAAAGAATTCACGATCTCTTGGGGAAGGCCTTCCCTAAGTCCCACTTCATGGCATGACCTCTGCTGGGTTATTAATTTCAGCCAGCAAAGTAGCAAAGGGGACATGACGTCTGAGACCCTCCTTCTCTCATCAGTGGCACTGACTGAGCTGGGGGCTTGAAGCTGGGGGTAATCCTTGCTGTCTCATGTTCTTTTTAGAGAATGGCAATGGTCTCTGCGATGTCCTGGGTCCTGTATTTGTGGATAAGTGCTTGTGCAGTGCTCCTATGCCATGGATCTCTTCAGCACACTTTCCAGCAGCACCACCTGCACAGACCAGGTAAGTCGGGAGCTGGCTCCTCGGCAGCCTCCAGTCTCACTGCTGTCACCTTAACAGATGGTTGACTGTAAAGGACAGAAAGCACTATATAGTGCGGGCAGCTTGCCTCTGAATTCCAAGACACATATTGTTGGCTGGATGCTTTGGGGAAAGGTGAGGGGGATACTAAAATGCCCTAGAGGTGTTTCTATGAATTTCTCAGGAAAAAACAAAACAAAACACACGGTTTTCTCTAAGAGTCTCCCTACCCCTTCCTCACACCTTAAAAAAGTGAAGTCCTTGGTTTTTGGATACTTTGGCCAATATCAAAATACTCTGCAGAAGGTGGGATAACTTGCAAGACTTGATTTCTTAGAGAGGCAAAATATGATCTTTGCAACCAATAAAATAATGGGTATGTATACTGCTGGGATATCCTATCTAGTGTAGATACTATAATCTCGGTGTGTGCGTGGCTAAGAATTTTGTGGATATGTTAGTGCCGAAATTAACTTTGGAAGTAGTTCGTTAATGAAAAAGAAATTTAAAAATAACTTACTATTTCTTGTCTGCTTTAATTTGTCTCCTCTTTCTCCCTTCCTTCACTTTCTGTTCTTCCAGTTTTTAACGGTGGTATTTTTCTCTCTTTCTTGGCACTTTCAGGAACAAGTTCCCTTTAGCCTGATTTTCCCCCCTATATTGAATTTTGATTTCCGGACGCATTTTGCTTTCTTCGTCTTTTCGTTTAAAGTATATTTCTTACCCTTCCATGGCCTCACTTTTCCGTCTGGATTTTTTTTTTTTTTCTCCTTCTTTGCCTTTCTCATTACTGCCCCCCAGCTCGATTGTCCTTACCCTCGCCCGTTCTCTGAAAAGATTTCCTTCCACATTGTTTAGTGTCAACCTTTGCACTCCTTTACTCCGCCCTCCACCTAAGCCCTCCTCCCCCATCGCCAAGTCCGGGCCCAGGGGACTAGTTGCGCGGCCAAGCTCCAGGTCTCCAAGTCGGAAGTGCTCCCCGCCCTCCATCCCCTCTCCAAATTCTTTCCTGGCCTCCTCCCATCCGTTCGGCTGGCTCCAGCTGCGCGGTCCAGCGTCCACGCCTTTGCCTTTCTCTGGCTCCGCAATCGGCCTGGGCGCCAGTCCTGGGCTCTTCGGCACAATCGTCCAACAACACCTCCCGGGGCGCTGCGTGCTGCCTCCCCGGGCTCTGCCTCCAGGCTGCGGGCTGGACGGAAAGAGCAACGGTGCAGCCCGGGTCCTGCCGCGCGCCCGCACCCAGCTGCGGGGGAGCGCGCGAGCCGGTTCTCTGCAGGAGCCCGGGCCAACCCCCCCAGGACTGGGGTGGGGGAGGGGGTGGGCGCGGGAGGGGGCGTCGGGGCGGCCTCAGCCCGGGGCTGCGTCAGGGCCCCAGCCACCCTCACTCCCCACGCCCTGGGTTGCGGAGGGAAGGCGAGGGGGGCGCTGGTGCCCCTGCCGGTGGGCTTGGAAACCGCTCCGCCGCCCCTGCCGCGCGCTTGTATTTCTGCCTCGGGCGTGCTGAGCCCCGAGCGGAGCGGGTACCCCCAGACTCTGAGGCTTCGGTGCCGAGGTGGAGGAAGAACAAACGTGGGTTTTGGAGTCTGCGGTTTACCTCCAGTCAGTTAATTACCAATCGGTTCAGGCAAAAATGTCTGATTTGTTACAGTCATACAAATAACGCGGGAAATTTGCATTCATTGTCATACTTAACAGTAAGAATTCGTAACAAAAATAACTATTGTGAGGTTTTCCGGCACGCTCACGTCGTCTTAATCCGTATACAAGTAGGTGTAATCGCCCCTACCCCTCACACCACGCGCACCGCCCCCAATCCTTCTGTTGCCAGGAGACTGAAGTTCTGAGGGATCGGGTGACTCGTGTGAGACCACACAGCCAGTAACTGCCATTGGAAGTCGGGTAGGTCTGATGTCACCTCCCTGGCCTGTTTCCCAAGGAGGGGATATATCTCCCAGGGCACAGAATAATCACGCCGAGTAGCCTCTTTGAGGGGTGTGAGCCGTTTCCCATAACTTGTGAAAACTTCCAAGTTATGTCATTGCACGGACTCAAACCCCTTCTGAAAGGTGGCCTTGGCTGACCTTGGTGAGGGCTGGCCGGTGGCAATGGCAGCACTCAGGACCAGCACTCATCTGTGTTACTTAACCAGAAGTGTCTTGACCTTAGGAAAGTCACTTTTCTTCTCTGGGCCCAATTCCCCATTTAAAGATATTGTGGGGGTGTAAGTAAAATAATTTTTTGTGACAGTGCTTTGTAAACTGTGAAGTTCCTCATAAATATCAATAACTCTGACTTCTCTTAATAGACTACAAAAGTACATGTTAGAGGTGCTAAATGAGTAAAGTTTTGCTGTTCACACAGCTAACAATCCACATAGGACAAAACCTTGTTTTAATCTCGTGTTTGTTTTTTTTTAAAACTATGAGGTACCTGGCTAGAATATATCACCAACCGCTGCCTGTCTTTTACGCTCGATGTGTATAGTTGTGAAATAGAGTACACTTTGCAGTGAGTTTTTACTTAGACTATCTCTGTTAATCAGTTAATACAGGAGTTTTTTTGGTCGGGGGTTATGGTTATGATATTTGTATTAAGTAAACTCAAATATTTATGGGGCTTGTTATCAAAATATTATAATTTCAAGCTCAGAAACATGTCGTTAAGTTCTGACTAAAATTGAATTCAGTATTTGTTTTCTCCAACGTCTACTGCTAGAAATTGCTTATTATCACCAATGCATGGTCGATCTGTATGTCAGATATCCCAAGAAACTGTAGCACTGAACCCAATTTCAGCCCCAAGCGCTTATACATTTGAGATCCATTACCGATTCATTGATGAAATTAAGAAACTATATATACTCCTTTCTAGGTGCAGAAAGATTAAAATGATATCAAACTGAAAGTCCAATGGTTCTATGTAATAGGTTTATTCAACTTTCTTGGGTTTTCAAGAATAGCTGCAAAGATTAAAACGATAGATCTTGGACACAGCAATATTCTAGCTTATTTCAGTCAGAAATGCAATCTCCTTTAATACAATCTGTTTTGATTTTAAGAGTAAATGTATGCTTTTTTTGATGAGAGTTGTGATGTTTCCCTTTGTGGGTCTTAAATCTTCAGGGACACTAATGAAATGTGTATGAAAACAAGAGAGAAATCAGGGCCAGTTATCTGTGACAATCCACCCCTAAATGAGCAAATAAATAAATAAATAGCAGGATAAATGAGCAAAAAGGAAAAACATAATCTCATTTTCTCAAATCAGTTAAAACAAGTGACATGATGAGAAAAAATGAGACACCAGGCAGACCCTGAGCTTTGCCACATTTGCCTAAGCTTGAAAAATCGCCTCTTCCATAAAGCAGGAACAAGCGGACACTGCATGCATACCAAGTACCCGGGAAATGTGAAAAATGACAAATCTTTCCCTCAGAGCCCCGAATGGGGGGAGAGTGAAGGCTTCACAGCTGCCTCCTTACCTGCTTAGGAACGGCTGGCCCCCCTCTTGCCAGCCTTTTACGGGCAGCTTTGCCATCCCCTACACAGTAAGATTGATGGTGTTCCCATCCCAAGCAGCCAATTTCAGTCTCTCAAGAAATAATCCACTACACTGACAAATGAGTGGAATTTGACGCGATGTTCCCCTCATCAGACTCTGCCGCACCTGGATGGCACCAGCCAGCCAGGGTCCTGTAGGGGAAATGGTTAGAGATCTGGGCCAATTTCTGCTGTCAAAACATGAAATCAGGACAATGTCTTTGTGAGGCCGTGAATTTGAGATCTGTCTTCTCAATGCAGTGGCTTAGTACACAAACAGAATGAGAATATGTTAACCAGAAAACAGACTGATTTTAATAGATTCCCCTGTAGTCCCTAAGTACTTTCTATTTTCCATATTTATGGTATTAGGAATGCACCATTATTTTCACTTACTAGTTAAGAAGGATTAAAATAGTCAATCAAATGGAAGTGAACTTTAAAATTACACAAATGAGTAAAATGTGCCATAGATTAACAGATTTGTAATTTCAATAATTTAATATTTGGCTAAATCAAGTTTTTATTTTGGGAACAATGTAGGAAATTACCACAACAATTTGAAGAATACTCGTGCCTTTTATATATATAAATAGTAAAGCTGGAAGGGGACACATAATTTAAAAAAGACAGACTGAACAATGAAAACCCAAAAGTGGTATGTTCCCTTGTTTCAAGAAATTAAAACAGACAGCTTCAACTCTTTATAAGCATCAGGTGTGTAACAGGTGAAAAAGGATGAATGGTTTGCTGGATGTAACTTTCTACTTTAGAATTAGTTCTTCCCCCTTATGGATATATGAATTATGACACTAATTTTAATAGTTACTTAATTTCAAGTGTGTGGGTATGTGTGTGTGTGGGGGGGTTATTCTTGAAACTTAATAAAATATGGATCATTGCAAAATACTTGAGTAAGAAAAGATCCTTGGGATTCTTTAGTAATTTAAAATTATAAAGATAAATTACATGAGACAAGAAGTTATAAGTGCCTAATGAATCATTTATTCTTGAGTCGCTGCTATTGTATTGACAGGTGTGTATGGAAATGATATATGGAAAGATTACTCTGAATAGAATTGTCTATGTAACTTATACTTGGCCTGATTTAAAACTATATTAAGCAAACTATGTATTTAGAGGGAGGTATTCATTTATGACTTAATTATTACATAGTGAACATCACCATTCATTTAAAAGTGTGATTTTTTTTGTTAAAATATTAAAAAGCATTCTTGTATATCTTATACTTATCTTTACCTTAGTATTCAATATTATTGAAAACTGCTTAAGGAATACGCATTAGAATACCAAGGCACATTACAATAAAGTATTGTTTTAGAACTGTAGTATGAAAGATATCGTCAGAACAACAGTGGTTGCATATTGGCTTTTTAAGAATTCTTACCAGTACTGAATTGCCAAGTGTAGTGAATTGACCTAAGGATTAGAGCAGACAGGTTGTTATTTGGTGTAAGCTGGTGCTAGTGATAATCCATTGATCATCTGATTGATGTTATTGACCTTGTCCCAGAGTCAGAGTGCAGCTATGGACATTTGATAAGACCTCAAAGTATCAAAACCAAGTAGAGATGCAAATAAATATTTCCTGTCAATCCCCTGAATTTATAAGAGAATTATTACAATGCTATATAAATACTGTTACTTATGTGAGCTCAAGCCTATGGCCTCAGTTCGTCATAGTTAAGGAGAATAGATCTTATGTCACACTGAAAACATATAGAAGTGGCACAAATGAACCTTAGCCTTCAATTGGTAATTTCTTAAAGTTCATTTAAGACGACTACTTGAACTTTTTGAAAAACTCTTCCAGTTTTAAACTGTGTGAAAATCTCAAAGCTTGAGTATGTAAATTCGTGCAACATTTTTTGAAAACAATTTGGCAGCATCTCCCAAAATGTAAAATGTGCAAATCCTACACAATTCCATTTCGAGATGCTTAGCCTAAGAAAATGATTGGACAGGTGTGAAAAAATGTATGTAAAGGTCTAGTTGATTTAATGGCAAATAATTAGAGGGGGGTTTTAGCTAGAGCAAAAAGAGCTTGGTACTATAAATCGTTGTATACCATACAACGGGATTCAATGTAACCACTGCAAAGAATGAGATGTGCTTATATGTACTCTTAAGGAAAGATGCCTATGATACACTGCTGAGGGAAAAAAACAAAAACAAAAACGAACAGAATATGCAGTTTCAAAATAATTTTGGAAAAAAATATTAACACAGGCATAAAAAGATGTCAGAAAGGCTATAAACATTCTATACATGGCATCAGTTAAACCTGGTGGTAG